TCCAGCCGAGCCCCTATGGCCAAAGCCCATGGAGGGAAGTTCACCCACGAACCGCGGGTACGTGCTCGCGCGCAGAGTGGGGGGATGGACCGCCCCTTGCTCGTAGCCTCGTAGAGAGAGACAGAAAGCTACCCGTGATTTGGCGGGACTTTCCAGTTCCAGCCTGCCTCCATGGATTGCGGACTTGATTTTGCCAGTACTTAGCTTCAATCTGTGCTTTCATGTACAACCACAAGCGTGGGACGGGACCAGAACGATGTTCGGTCCTTCCTGCATTTGAGACGCAGTACCATGAAATAAAGACGAATAGAACCGACCAACTCCCGAGCGCATGCAGCAAGCTCTAGCCTGCCATGTCCGAAACTCCAGACTGAGTCATGAGTTATGCCTTCAAGCGCAACGCGGCCGGCTCTGGCTCAAGTCTGTTTTAGAACATCCAAGGCTCCGTTGCTCCCGGATCCAGCAGAATGGGCACTGCACAGGCCAGCGGCAACATTGATTTCTTGACCTTGTCTTGGGTTTGAGGCATGTCATGGTCCACGGTCCAAACACTTTAAGTGGAATGGTATGATCACCCTTCGCCTTTCGTTTACATACGAGTGTGCGCGCCCCGATATATACAGTTTGTGTTGTGGTTGGCTGGACAAATGGTAAAAGGAACAGAAGACGATAACAGCCGACGTGCGACCATCGTTCATGATCTGTGGGTTGGCTGTCGTGTTCAATCTGTCCTTGCAAGGGCCTCAGGAAACTCAGGCATGCATTCAGTAGTGATTGATGAGCCGAGCCTTTAAGTTATCACATAAAGCTGAGAGCCATGATGTGTCCAGAACCGACATTCTCACAACAACATTCTGGCATGGAAGCGCTGCGTGGAAGGGTGGGTGGGTGGGTGGATGGGTGGGGATACGTTTTCCTTGAAAGCGTTCCTGCTAGATTGTGCTTGAATGCCTCCGCATGTTGTAATATGACGGAGTCCGGGAGCCCTACTCTATCCAGCATGTATGGCATAAGAAGCTTCTAAAACGTGGAAAAACGACAAGAGGCAACGTTAACCCTGATTCGGGATAAGCAAATGGGCACAGGGTTGTTCTACAACCCCAAATCTGTTTCATAGGAGTGTCCTTACCCACCCTGTCGCGCCAGGCATGCCTTGTCATGAACGATGAAGAAATTGACATAGAGCTCAAAGATCTTCTTGCATGCTGGACCAAGCCGAAGGCACGAAATCGTGAAGGCCGGGAATATGGGGGCCCCATGAAAGGTGGCGAGAGTTGGACAAATGGCGACGAGATTAATGGAGGCATAGTTTACGTCTTCAAGCTGTATTCCCCGACTGTTCAAGTGACATCAAATGACTTGTGGTTGGTTGCACCTGTTGGAGCAAGGAAGGACCACTGCAACTACTACAGAATCAGAAGCCATGATGGCTACAAGCGTTGCAGGGATCCATATATCAAGTGCTTCAGTGCTCTGAAGAGAAACCGGGCTTTTTGCGACATGACTGGCGAGTTCCTGCGTGAGATGCTACGGATGCTTCAGAAAGAAGACTCGGACTTATTCCCTCTGTTGAGGGACTCTTCTGACGGCTCTCCTGCGCAACTCATGGTCGTGAAGCCAAATAGTCGAAGCAGTTTCCAGCAGCATCAGGTAGCTCAAAGGACGGAGGCAGCAACAAAAATGTGCACTCCAGTCTTGAGCATGGTGCAGGGCGTCGTGCCGAAAGCACAGCAGACGATTCAAATCGGCCAGGACAACTTCCAAAGGTTGGCGATGCTGCACACAGGGATGACTCAACCAAATGCCTCCTTTGCACAAAGGATCAATGGCCAGGTGGAAATTGCTAGCCTAGGGAGCCGTGCGGGCGAAGCTCAAAAAGCCCTGCAGATGGCCTCGGCTGCAATGTGTTTCCTATCAGCAGCTGCAGCCATCTTGAGCTTCGTCGATGTCATGACAAGGGGGACGCAGGCTGCACCTCCATCTCTGGAGGAAATTGGCCGGGTTTGCTACGATGCCTGCTTGAGAGCCTGTGAGGAGGTACGCCATGTTGCCAATTGGCAAGAGATGGATAGACAGGTCGGCCTGGCACAAGAACATTTCATGCGAGCCATGAGCTATGTCCACGACAAAGTCGAGTTCACTAAAGCACTGCGCAAGACTTGTGATGCGTGCCTCAGCGCGAGGAATGCGATCGCAGTTCTTCAATTGGGCGAGCTGGTCTTTTACAAGCCGAATGCTTACGTCATTGTCAGCATCTTGGAGCTATGGTGTGTGCGAACGCTGGCTCAACTTGACCCGAAACACCGACAATATTTGGCAGATCTTACGGACCGTGTGAGGGCACGCTTTACGGCCATCTGCCAAGCAGCCGAGTCAGATTTGAACAAATGGTGCCAGGACAAGTTCAAACACGATACAGTGAAGCACTACTTCGACCATGCCCAGATCGACAGTGAAGCAAGCATTGGCACTCGCCTTAAAACAAAGTATCAAGATGTGTATTCTTGTTATAGCCGTTTGGTTACAATCCTGGGAGAACTGGACGACAACACTGTCCTCGAAACACAGGATGGACCTTCTGTCCCCCCTCACAACATGACTCTTGTCAAGAGGCCTAAGAATGGAGAGGTAGCATGGTACCTTGAAGTTACCTGTTGCGATTAGGTGGCGATGTGGGAAAACTTTTGTGGACAACATGTGCCATAAGAGCTCATCGTTGCATAGTCTAAGCCTGCGAGCTAGAAAAGCTGCAGCCAGCGCACAACTTGGTGCACACGTGCACATTGGCCAAGGCTTGCGCTAAAATCTCTATCAGGATTACCCCTGACCTCCCTTCCCCATGCCGCGTTGTGAAGAGTTTCGGTAGTGAGACTTTGTTTGTGGGAGTTTGCCACATGGACTGGGCTTCACAGAAAGAGTACATACGAGCAGTGTGAGAAGACAGGGCCTGATGTCCTCTGTTTATTCACTGATGGCTCACCGGCTGCCGTTCTGATTGTTCAATAGTGGAAAGATGAGCGCCCGAACTGCAAGGTTGCACATGGAGATCATTGTGTCACCGTACTTTCAGCCTGAATGACAGAAGTTATTGGACGACATGCAGCCCTAAACCCTAAACCCCCTAAACCCTTTACATGCGCTCAAGTCGCTTTCCTCTTGCAGCCTGCAGGCCGCAGCCACTGTACCGGGGCCTGGAGACCAGTACTTTGGGGCTGGAGAGGCGGCGTTTTAAGAAAGTAGGGCTTATAGGCTATATAGGGATGGAGGGTTTAGGATTTTGGGGTTTCGGGTTCAGGGGGGTTGTAGGTTATATAGGGTCAGAGGGGCAGAGGGTTTAGGATTTTTGGGTTTTCGGGTTCAGGGTTTATAGGGTTTTGGGAAGCATGTGTTGGGCTTTGGGAATAGAGTTTGTCTTTGCAGGCCAGAGCTGGGACCGACTGAGAGGTTGGGGTTTTGGAGCAAAAGGCTTCAGAGTGCATGGTCTATACCTATAGTATCCATTGTAGTTCCTGGAACTGGGGGTTACCAGAAAAGATCCTAACTATAAAACTAGTTAAACCAAACAAAGGAACTACAATGGAGACTCTAGGTAGGTGCTATAGGTCCTCGAGCCGGGATCTCAGGGGAAGGGAGGGAGTTGATTTTGCGGCCAGGGTCGCGGGTTGCATCGAGGGAAATGCGTGTAACGTTTTGCATGTAGGTTTCCGGAACCCAAGCACTGGAAGCACCTGAACCCAGATTGAATAAACCCCAGCGTTCAGAACTTTGTTGATGTTGGTCTCCCCTTCGTTGGTAACATTGGGAGAGTAGTGGCTGT